TTTTACTCAAGTGGTGCAAAAATAAACATTTTTACAAATAATTAGAAAAAAAAACTTAACTTATGGGCTGTTTTTGCTTACGCGTAAAAGCACATTTAGCGCAGTTTAGCTCTAAATGCTACTCTAAATGTACATTTATCCATACAAAATTCGTCACCTAAATGCAACTAATGCCTCCATTTTTGCATTAAGAATCTAAATGCTAAAAGCAACCTTGTGATCTTCCAAAATTTCCACGATTCGAACATGGTTTAATGGAAAAAGTGGCAACATTGCTTTTTCGCGTATACAGTGGCTAGCTGCGTTTCAGCGACGCCGATCGAGATTTCATTTATTATTTTACATTATTGCAAATTCAACATCGATGTGAGGCTGATAGAAATCTGGATCAATTTGTGATCAACTATGTTTGTTTTGTTTCCTAATTAAGTGAGCAAATTTTAATTGACAGCACCGACAAATGAATATATACACAAACAAAAGTTAGGTTATGGTTAAAACAATTCAAGTTTTTGTATTGAATTTTTGGTTTAAAATTTGTTTGTTTGCTTTTCAGTAGGGTTTTTTGCACATTATCTTCTGCGTGAGAATCGATTGTAATAGATACGGATCTGAATAAGCGACTGGAACACGGCTGTTTGTCAAAAACATACGAAGTCGCGTAAATTTACATTAGCTAAATGCGATAGCATGAACGCTCTTCAAAAAAATATGTTCGAAAGTGCTAAATGTTGCATTTTAAATGCAGCAAAAACGGCGCTGTCGCATATCTACATTTCAACGCGAATAGAATTGAACAAGGTGGGTTTGCAAGTTCAGCTTTTTATCAATCATGGTTGTATTTAAGTGCATTTAAATTTGTAGATTTTTGTAAATTCAGTACTGCCATAGCTTTAAATATTTAAAAATGATTTCAGGTTTTAACTATATCGGAGAAATTTTGGTTCAGAAAAAAGCACTAAAAAGGCACTAGGCTCTAATAATATTTTTTGGCGTTTTAATTTTCAAAAAGCACTAAATCCAGTGCTTAAAGCACCAAGTTGGCAACTATGCTGCTCGCATATGTCGGTTTGTTAAAGAGTGCTCTCTGAGAGCAGGTGTGAGAGTCGAGTAGCCAATGCATTGGCTGTCTGTTGTGATTCCAGCTTTTCGACGTTAAGCTTTTCTTGCATATTTGGGCGCACATTTTTTGCTACACAGAGGCGGGTGCGTATCTTGGCTGCTACGAGATAGTGGTCCGAGTGGATGTTTGGGCCTCGGAGTGTACGTACGTGGAAGCATGCCACGTAGCTTGATGAATCTTTTTATGCTTGAACCTAGTACTGCATTCTACCATGTTTCGCTTGCTCCAAAAAAGACACCCGCTTGCAGCCGCACCTACTGGTGAACACCGAATAAGTCGGAGTGGCCCCACCGAAGCTCCCTCTCTTTCTTCCGGAACCCGAGGCTCCATTCGGATTGGTTACCGCATCTCGCACTTGGGTTGCTTACGTTGCCCAGAGTGCGCGAACGAGGACGCAAGAGTCGGGATTGAGTATAGCCATGCAACAGTAACTGCATAGCCAGAACAACGACTATACCCCATGGCACTGAAAGGTTTAGCTTTTTCAAAAAAGCTCAGGCGGGAAGTACACCTATAAATATATTGGCCCATTTAAAATTTTCAAATTCCGTCCCTGATATGTATGAATATATATACATACATATACACGTACATACATATAGAGTCCGACCGATTAATCGGCATCGGCATCGGCTAGTATCGGCACAAAATTGAGCATCGGCATCGGCATCGGCCTTTTTCGCCGATTCTTTGGAATTTATTTTCAAATGTTCAGGTGAAGCGACAGCCAACTTTACAAAAACATTTGCAGACAGCTCACAAAAATTATTTTTTTATTTGTTGAAGGTGTTTCGCGTTTTCTTCCTTACAAAAGTATGTGCGACAATTTTCTTTTATATGAACACTGCCAGCAAAGAAATTGCCAAAACTTAACGGGATTTTATAGCCGCTTGAAACTTGCACTTCATTCTACTAGAATGAAATGGTCTACAAAACTGCATACCAAAATTCATATTAAAAATTTTGAAATTTTGGTGCAAATAAGCAGAATTTTTCTAATTTTTGTACCAAGTTTGAATTTATATGGTGTTTGTTGTATACCAGCTAGACTTTTATAAAAAAAAAAAAATAATAAACATTAAATAAAAAAGACAAAATCGGTCAAAACATCGCAATTCTTTTATTTTGTGGACCACTATATGTATGTACATACATACCTAGCATATAAGTTCTTATGCATTGAGTGCAAAAGAGTGAATTTTAGTACAAAACGAAATGAAATTTTTTGTTCCTAAATATTTTTTGCTTAGCACCATATAAAAAAGTGTTTTATGTAATGTATGTAGATAAATGTGATATACGTACACATATTTTTACACATACATATGTATGTATGTACATACATGTGTATGTAATGTTGCATAACAAGCCAATTAATTCAATTATTTCTTTTCTTTTGTTTTTTTTTTAACTCCGTGAAATGAACTGATTTTATGAATTAATACATTTATTTGTAATTTTTTATGGAATCGGCATCGGCATCGGTACCTGAAAAAAAATTGGAATCGGTCGGACTCTACACACATATGTACTTCAGAACCATGAAAAAATAACCAAAATACAAGCGTATGTATGTGCAGCAATGAGGCATTGATTATTGATTGGGCGAGTAGATTAAAAGAATCCATATGTATGTATATCTGAGTTGTTCTAATCAAACATAACATATTCGCTCACACGTTAAATTTTGCCACAATCAAGTCACTTGCTAAACCATCATAAATACGTCCTTTTATTTGATACCTTTGATATATGTACATATGTATGTACATACATACATAAATCATTTCTATCGGATTAAATGCCAAGGATAGGTCAATAAATAGGGAAATTTAAGCTGATTTCTGGCAACCTGCAAATATTGGGCATAGAATAAGCTCTTTATCTTCTTGGTAGTAGTTTTTCACTTTTGTTTGTTTTAGCCGACAGTAAATGAATAAAACGTGCATTGAGGCTTATGCTTGCATGTACATACATATGCACACATATTAAGCAAATAGGTTCATGTAATCATACCAATAGGTAATTTATGTNCACAGTAAATGAATAAAACGTGCGTTAAATTACAATTGCATATGCTGCATTGAGGCTTATGCTTGCATGTACATACATATACATACATATTAAGCAAATAGGTTCATGTAATCATACCAATAGGTAATTTATGTTTACTTAATGAATAATCCTTTCCTCTCAAGTACGAAACAAGACGCCCTCAACGCTGGTTTTAAGAAGGCGGTTAGCGATCATCTAGATTACCTTGGTCGATGTAATACTGTCCATATTCAGGAATTTTCTGTTTTATTGCTTGCTGCTACTGAAATCAAGCATAATTGTTTAGATGATTGTTTTTAATATGAAGCGAGTTTGGTACATGCCATCTCCGAAGCGGCGTTTTTGCCTAAGTAGGCCCTTCCGCGAAACTTCTTACCTACATATGTATGTATCCCTGACGCAAGGTAGCAAAATAGCAATAATGCCGATGTCGTCGATGAAATTCATTATTTTTCCAAACTATGCTTTCGNAATAGCAACAATGCCGATGTCGTCGATGAAATTCATTATTTTTCCAAACTATGCTTTCGACGTTTATAATGAGCGGCAAGTTTCCACCAGAAACGAATTTTTTCTGCTACAATGAAACAAAAGTTCTAAGTATTTCAGAAATCCCTACAATTCACGTATGTATTAAATGAAAGGCCATTGTTGGACCGTGCCGAGACTGACGCGTCGGTGTTGCACTCGAATGCATACATACATACTATGTACATAGACCATGGTACCTAAGTACATGTTGATGCACATACATATGTATATCTATCCATATACACATAAGGTTTCTCAGGTGCCTTCTTTCAACTCCGTTACTTTAGTCACTTTATGCATTTATGATTATTTCAATTAGCTGAAGTACGAAAGCGGCACTTCTTCCATTTTTAGTTCTTTTCAAGTCTTTCTATTTTGGCATTCACTTTAATTGCCTGCCGTGGGAGGTAGTCAAAATGCATTGCAGAAAATGCGTGCGACCGGCCTCGACAGCCTGCTCTATTACCGAATTTGACCTTGGAATTCAGGGGCAACTGCTTTAAGCGTTGAAAATCTCGCGATAATAATGCGCTCTGCATGTGCGCCGTTCATAAACAGTTAAGAGCGCAGCAGGTATGTAGGCACTGAGTGAGAGCGGGAGTCCTCAGACAAATTTCTTACGACTTTATCCGAGTTTGTCACTATCTTACGGGGTGTCTAGAGCAGATGCTTTATCCGTTTGGATAAAATTTCCCCTCAAAGATAGAGAAATGAAGCGTCTGTTATGATATTTGATACTTTTGTCTCTTTAACAACAGAACAGTAAAATGCAATAAATTTTCATGACTTGACCTGCCGCTTGTGATTTTGCAACGTACACATCGAGTTCCGCTCTCACCCCTTGTCGATGAACACAGAGCCTGAGTATTTTCCCCGTAGACTAGTAGGGGGAAATAGAGTGGAAATACACATATTTGGCCGGCCGGCGGTACGTTCTCAGCATGCGTCGACAATGTCATGTGAAGGGATATTTATGTGCTATGACGAGCAAAACAGTGCAACAACAATACTCTCAGCAACAGCAGTATCAGAAGGTCGTGTGCCAAAAACCGTGTGTTATAGTATGTATGTATGTGTGTGTGCACGTTGAAAAAAGGTAAAAGCGCAAGCAGGCAAAAGAGTATCGAGAGCTGAGATTTCGAGGGTATTTTAGGAAAGATCGCAGTGATAGCCGACACATTTGTTAAAGTACATTCACCAGGATCACAACGCTGTCGTCGCAGTTACGTCGAAAATATAAACAACAAAATTAGTTAGTGAATTTATATATTTGCACGAGTTTCGAGAAAATATGGCTGCCACAAATTACTATCCGGAGTACACAAATAACACAATGATTTCTCAACAGCAAGCATATGCTTATAGCGGATACTACAGCAACAATGAATCATACTACGAAGCTTCCAGTGACAACAACTTAATGCAAAATGTTTGCCCCACTCGGTATCCTATGTCATACCAAGCTAGTTATGAGCAATATAAGTCCTCTCCAGCTAACTTCACAGGGCAGATTTACAAAACTGCAGAATGGAGCTATACCAGCAGCACTTCTACGGCGTCTTGCGGCCAACAAAGTGATTATAAGGAAGTTATTTATCATGAAGTTCCTTCTAACTTGGTAAAAAATGAGAGGAAGAGCCAAGGCGTAATTGCCACAAATTTAAATGGTTTCGGGAACGAAAAGAAACCAGAATCACCAAAGNAATCATGAAGTTCCTTCTAACTTGGTAAAAAATGAGAGGAAGAGCCAAGGCGTAATTACCACAAATTTAAATGGTTTCGGGAACGAAAAGAAACCAGAATCACCAAAGCGAAGATCATCCGAGCTAGACAATGATGTGAAAACAGAGGCGGAAAAGCCGAGTACGTTACGGTCCTTATTAACGAACCCTGCCAAGAAATTGAAGTATACTCCAAACTACTTTTTCACAACAATGGAAAAAGTCAGTTCACCAAAGAAGCCATCAAGCAAAAGCAACGCCAAGTCCAATGACAATTCAAACGTCGTCAGGTATCCAGTCAATACACCCCCCAGTTTTGAGCAGGATGTTGTCGGTGGCGGCAGTCGTATACCTACGCCTTCTACGCTCAGTGTGCTTTCTTCTCCTAGTCGCAATGATATTGGTTATTTGGAAACATACTCTCCTCAATCTGCAAAACTATCGAATCAAGGAAAGCACAGTGATTTTCTCACACCACCACCGTCGAATGCATCAGCAACTGCGGCTTTTGGAGCGGCAGAGCCGACATCGTTGGCGATCTCACCAGCTGCTATTGCACCAATAAAAACTACTCCATCCACGAATGCATCGCTTGTGGATGGTATTAGTACGCCACCCCTATCGCCGCATGACCAAGCTGTCAATCAAAATCAACAGGTTCGGCCATTGCCGGCGTTAAAGCAAAATGAAATCAATCATCAAATTTTGACAGATACGGCGGCAGAGTTCAACTGGTCACACTGCGAAGAGAGTTTGACAGCAGGTAAGCATTTTCAATAATGCGTCTATATGTTTTATATTTGCAAGGCATACATATCTATGTATTCAAATGCATACACGAATATATATTTTTATATGGTTTTTATAAAATACATGAATAGCTCTGAATACTTACATATATCACCACTCATAATTACAGATTGCAAAGATTCAAAACGCACTCGCCAGACTTACACCCGTTTCCAGACTCTGGAGCTAGAAAAGGAGTTCTACTCAAACCGGTATATTACGCGCCGTCGTCGCATTGAAATCGCCAACGCATTGTCACTTACTGAGCGCCAAATAAAAATTTGGTTCCAGAACCGTCGAATGAAGTCGAAGAAAGACCGCACATTGGATCCACCTACTCCCGACTACCAAGGCCTGTCCCACTACCCGAACCCTGGCTTGGAAGCAGTTGCTACCACACAACCGCCTTCACAAGCTCAGCTTCTGTACCTAAGTGCGCAACCAAATGGACCCGTACCACCCGCCTACCCTCCTTACATGACTGGTGGCCAAGCCTATTCGCCAAATCCAGTGAATGCTTACCCGGGCCAGAGTGCACTTTCACATTGTGGCCAAATGTATGATGCTGCAACAGCAGGACAATCATTATACAACCAAAATAATCATCATCAACAGTATCCACAGCAGTCGCCGTATCTGTTGGCTCAGCAATATCCGCCGCACGCCTACCAACACCAACATCACCACCTCCAGCAGAGACAGTATCAACAGTCACTGGCTCAAATGCGGCCACAACAACAACAACTACTACCATCACAGCAGCAACATCAACTGCAAATGAACAGTGCGCCAGCAGGATCCTCAATGTATCTGCCGTAGAAACCAATGCGTGGCGATCCACAAACACCAGAAACACACACCATAGTTCACGGTGTGACGGTGCGGGACACAGACGGGGCGCGTTGAAAGCGGTGTACACACTAATCATATGCTCTGCCGTTTACTTCTGTCGTATAAACGGACGAGGGAGAAATGAATTTTTAAAAACAATGCAGTGGCAGCGGCACAGAGGGGGTCTCCCTATAGAGTTCTGTGCGCAGCTCAGTCAGGAGCAATGCAGTAAATCNGAAACAATGCAGTGGCAGCGGCACAGAGGGGGACTCCCTATAGAGTTCTGTGCGCAGCTCAGTCAGGAGCAATGCAGTAAATCGCAGAAACACAAACACACAGAAAGTTTATCAAAAGGATGGCATGGCATGCCACTGCTTGTGCTTGTTCATTCTAGGCGAGGAATTAGAAATGTTTGATCGCATACATACAAACGTACCTATTATAGTCTCCAGCTATTGCGAAAAGATGTAAAAGAAAGCAGCAAGCAGCAAAGCGGGTGGCGAATGAGCGAAGTTATTACAGTACGTGTGGACTTATGTCGACATCACCTGAAAGAGGACAAAATGTATCAATTTATTTTCAATTAGAATCTCACGAAAATGTTTCGAAGATAGTTGTAATCATATTAGATAATTTAACTACTATATTTATATGTANAGTTCATTCTAGGCGAGGAATTAGAAATGTTTGACCGCATACATACAAACGTACCTATTATAGTCTCCAGCTATTGCGAAAAGATGTAAAAGAAAGCAGCAAGCAGCAAAGCTGGTGGCGAATGAGCGAAGTTATTACAGTACGACATCACCTGAAAGAGGACAAAATGTATCAATTTATTTTCAATTAGAATCTCACGAAAATGTTTGGAAGATAGTTGTAATCATATTAGATAATTTAACTACTATATTTATATGTATATAGTTAATATTATAGGCTTTTTATAAAACTGCTTGTATGAACGAAAGTAGAAGAATGTTTATTTAATTTAATCATAAGTCGATAGCTAGGCTAAAAGTCAGTTAGTTAATTGGTAAAATCATCCCCTGCTTGGGCATTGTTGCATTGTTGCAGCAGTTTCCTGGGTATGCATTTAACCCCAACGCCACGCACTCGGGCGCATTTTGAAATCACAACAGCTGCAACTCTGTTCTTGGCTGCCGCCAACGACATTGATTCGAAATTTTTCATCAATAAATTCTGTTTTTCGAAACAAAAACTGTCACATTTTGGCTACCCTAAATAAATAAATACGTACATATGTAGTATGTATGCACATATTCCAGGGCGCTCAAACGATCGACCTTAATGCACCACCGCCGAAATCATGTATGTATATATCTACATACATACATATATACATACATACGAATGCCTCTATACCTACGTTGTAACTTCTGTATCACATCGATATGCTTCTATTGAATAGGAAGGAATATTGATTGGTCATTTTTCATATGTCAGGCGATAGCAGGATTGTGAATTAACGAAGGGTTCTGAGTTCGTAATCCATTCTGTCACGTGTTTGCTTTTCAATGAAGGTGATAGGAAGTTTATGGCAAACCAATAAAAACTTTAAGTGATGCGAACAAACTGAAAGTGTACCTTCGAAAAAATTAGAAAGTGCATTCTATTAAAGTACTTGATACGAGAGTGATATCACATTAATTAAGACATTCAAACCCTGTCCGGTTTTATAAACTATACCTACATTATTTGCGGTTTACTTACTCGTCCTATATGTACCAAAAAGGCTTGGGAAAGTAATTAATTTTGTCATGAAAGAAGCGAGTATGAATGCGATAGTTGGACTAGGTGGCCGATTACCATACGAACGTTCAATAATATAACGAAGTATTTCAAAATTGCAATTTGGTCCGAACATATTCTCCTTATCAAGCTTATTAATTACATAAGGAAATCTCCCAAAAAGGTAAACATTGAGTTACGTGTGATATGTATACCAAAATATGTTTCAGCTTCAACGGAGTCAAAATGCTAGGCATTAGTGCTGGGATACTATCGATAGTACCGCCACTCCATAGTTTTCGAATCGATAGTTGAAAACATCGATAGTACTGTCGTAGTGAACTACATTGGCTGCGTTTCTTTATACATTCCGGATAATCCCATTTCACAGCCGGAATAAACAGAATGCGTTTGAAATATACGTTAACATATCATCAGGAACGTTCTAAAGAATAAGTAAACAAAAAAGTTTATTCCAAACGTTCAGAATGAATAAAGAAATACAGCCATTATGTAACAGTATTGAATTGAAACGCTCAATTGTTTGATAATATATAAAAAAGTAAAAATATATCCACACCAAGTAGGTATCGAAAAAACGATTCGAGTAAAAAAAGGGGTTGGCATCGAACATACATACGTACATACTCGTATTTACTTGTATCGGAACATCCCTAACCCGGACAAGAGGATTCTGGTGGCAACGTAACAGCTAACGCTCTCGAAAAACGTGGGTCCCAACGGGGTTTCGAGTTATATTGCCTTTCTCAGCTCCTAAGGGAAAAAATCACACTAAAAAATGTAGACCATCCTCTAGGGGAATCTTGAATTTAAGGCGAGAGGGACTGAAAACTACGGACTACCTGACAGGACTTGAGGTTCTGTGACTGGAAAATAGTATGCCTCTTACACTTCAGAGATCTGTTATCGTGTCCGTCCAGAATCAGGAACATGACACCCTTTAAATTGTCAGATTTCAAAAATTGCCTAAAGGTGGAGGGAATTTTTATGGCACCAGCTCAGTAGATCTAGATAAGTAGCTTTTATTTCCTCAAATATTAAAAAAAAAATATTGTGGACATTGTAGCAGAGAACTAACTTCAAAAATTATGTATCAGCACTAAAAAATAGTTCACAAAACGCTCAAAAAATTGGCTTATTAAATATATTTACTACTAATATGTATTAGGAAAATATTTGAACAATTAATATATACATAAGGAAGGTTCCATGAGAAACTAAAAAATGTTTGTTTATAAAACGTTTGGATAAGCATTTGTAAAAATCTTGAATCAATCATAAATAACAAATTAAAGCTTTAAATGCATTTTTATTACCTGTCTTACGATTGGAAATCAAGTTCTAAGTAAATTTTTGGAGTGAGTTTCATTCATAATTCAAGTGCTTGGTAAGAAAAGTAAAGCGCTGGTAATGTAATGTGCTACTTTTATAAAAAATTGTAAACATTAAATAAACAAAAGAAAAATAGCCAAAACTGTTAAAAATATCACTTAACCACAAGGGTATGTATATGTATTAAAGTTTGTTGAACTGATGTAAAAAATTAATCATATACAAATAAAAAGTATGGTTATGTTGTAAGCTAAAGCATACAATAATTTTTTGATAACCAGGCGATATTTGACCATAAAATATCTATATCTGATATTATCGTCAAAAAAACGTCGCGCGGATAATATCGTATCGGAAACAAAAAACATCGTCAACATCGATATAGGTAATATCAGCAATCCTACTACGGGTGGGACAGTTGTCAGAAATGGGTTTACAGCGCTGACAAGTTTGTTTAGTTTGTTGTGGGGGACGCAGGGGAGGAGGGGAGAACGCGCGGGCTCGCCCATTACCTATATAGTAGTAGTAGTAGTAGTAAATATTTTCTTTTATTGAGAATTTGTATGCTACAATTTTACAATACTTATAACTATTGTACAATTTTCGTAACGGAGTGTTTATTCCAAAACAATTTTTTTTTGTAAATTTGAGTTAACGAAAAGTAAAAATAAAAATAAAGAAAATAATAATGATGATAATAAAAGAAAAGAAAATACGACTGTGATAATAAAACTTACATACAATAAAACTTATATACATATGTACATATTCTTATTTTTTATTTTATTTTATTTGTATTATTCTCTCAAATATTATCGAATGGTACCCTTAATAGTATATTAAAACATGAGCCAAATCGGACCTTAAACTCGATTATTCAAAAATATCTTGACTCCAACAACCGTTGGCTAGTCCAAAAAACTTGTAAATCTCTAAGACGTGTTCGGAGCGTATTACCCAAATTTCATGACCATCACACATTTTTATATATTAGTTATGTTTGCACACACAGTAGAATGTGGTAGGAAAGTCTACAAACTAAATTCAATGAGATCCCTCGCAATGGTATCGTTCTTTCTTGTGTATTTAAGAGACATCGCTATTGTTTCAGAGGAGGTCAATATTTTGGGTATTTAGGAGGATTAGGTCTGTTAAGAGGTTAACTTTACGCCTTGCTTAGAATTTATAGAAATGTAATGGTCACTTTTATTTTATGTGCTACTTTTGCTTGGAAGGAAAACAGGTATGTGGTTCTAAAAACATGGCATAAATGCGGAATGTCTTCCATTCCACTAGGAGTGGCTAGGCAATTTTTCCACCACAAGTAAATACATATAATGAAGTCAAATTACTCATTAACGCGTTGGCGGCGGCGATTAGCACAGACGATGGAACTACATATTAGCTGTATTTATGATTTTCCAACGACATGGACGCAGTGCAGCGAATTAAAATACAGCGACTCCGCTGGCTGGACCAGGTTGTTCGAATGGACACATACGCTCTAGCCCTGAAAGTATTCAAATGGGAAACCGAAAGAACGAATAGCAAGCTTTATTGAACTCGACCACGACCGCTGCCACGTACTTCTTTTTTGTGTAACAAAAAAGGTACCAAAATGTACCCAATATGTTTTATCTAAGGGGTATTCCACCGCCACATTTGTACAATAAAAATTCCCTTTCTTTTTTAAATTTAAGTATTAAAATGTACTCAACAATTCTACATTTTGATAAAGCTCCACTTAATTCACTACTATTATATAAGTTATTACCAAATACGAAAAAAAATCCAATTTACTTTTATATGGGAAAAAATCCGAGTTATTTCTTCTGTCATGGGTGGGCAAAAAAAAAGGAACCTGCTTTTTGGAGCAGATATATTTTATG